AAGAACCGCTGAAGAACCATACAGGGGCTTAACAGGTTCTTTACACGGTAGTGGTGCTATATAGCACCTTAACCACTCCAAAGAACCGCTGAAGAACCGCTGAAGAACCTTTTTTTTTTAGAGTGTAAACATGAATTTCTGTTTTATTTTTTTTAAATGTATTGTCCCTTTGAAATAAAAATCAATATTTTGATATACAATTATTGTATTTATTAATGCTTTGAATTGGTGTTTATATATATATATATATATTTTAGTTTTAATTTTTTGTTTAAGTTTTAGTAATTTTGCAGGGTGCTAATTCTTTTCTATTTATTTTTTCTAAATTTCTATTTAGCCTCAATTTTTTTTTTTTTAGTTTTAGTACTTTTAGTGCTTCATCTTAATCGTATTTCAGTTAGTTTCCAAAGCAACATTTATAATTTATTTTTTCAAGTTTTTTAAGGTTTTTCATCTAATATTCATTTTATTTTATTTCACCTACCAAAAATTATTTTTAATAGTTTTAGTTAACAATAACAACACTGCATTCCTGTGCCTCAAACAATACAGCATAGTGCTAGCAACACCAATGTCATGGGTTTGATTTCCAGAGAATGCATGAACTGATAAAAATGTTGCTTTGGATAAAACGTGAAATACAAATGCATAAATGTAAATGAATATGACACTGTGAGATAAATGTGCCAGAGTGGCTGCTTGTCACCCACGCTCCTTGACAGAGTGTAGAAACACACAATTCTGATGTAAATCTGATGACATATCAGAGAATGTCAAGATGGCCAGCAGTAGAAATGAATGTGTCTTGGACGGGTTGATGTGAGGTTATGGAAAGCATGAGCTTTGGAGGAAATGAGCCGTCTAACACACTGCTGGCATTTTATTGCATGACTTCAAAGGAAAGAAAGCAAACGCTCTGGCTCCAGAGAAAACCTTTAAAGTCTGCATTGATAAAGAGTGAAGGCTGAAGAACTACAGGTATTGCTCGAGCCACTTATGAAAAGCTAGTGCGAAATATAAGCGCAATTTTAATATGCACGGAACACTTTACCTTGCATTGAGTGAGTGATTTAATGCACCTTTCAAACAGTGAAGAAGACTCATTTTCTTGATGAAAGAATTATCACTCTTTCAAGTAGAAATCAATTTTAATTTATATTTGAAAAGAAATCTTATTTCTGCAGTATTTCCATTCATTTGACTTCAGCAAGCCTGGATGATGGTATGGTCATCTGTTCAAAATCCTGTGTTTAGAGCAGTGAGTTTTTGTTGTAAGCTCCCATAGTCTAATAAAAATATTATTCTTTCATATGTGGAATCCATCTCCACTCATTTGTTTGCAGTTGTGGTAAAGAAAGACCTCTTTTACTGCCTTTGAGAAAAGCAGAATAGCTGTATATGTCCACAGCAGTGAGTGTGTGGGTATGGCACAATAGCCAAGAAGAAATTGAATATAACATGGTTTTATACAGTAACCCTTACGAAGATTTGATGCCACTTACCTTGCAAACTTATCAAATTTATTTCGTTTTTTTATTTTTTATCAAAAGCACTTATTTCAATCACATACCTTGTAAACATGACTTTTTGGTTTCTGTTTGTATGTAGGTAGTGCAGTGGTACTACTTTTACTAAATTCATGACAGATTATATATATATATATATTAGATGAAAAACCTAAACTTAAAAAAGAAAAAGAAAGAAAGAAATGTTGTCAACTAACTGAATTATGTTTAAGCTTAAGCACTAAAATGAACAAAAAAGCTAAATAGAAATAAAACAAAAAATTGACAAAAGCACATTTAAAATTAAAATGAAAACTAAAAATATAAAAATAAAAGCTAATTCAAGATATTAATAAACACTATAATAGTATATAAATAATACTATAAAAAATAAGACCGTTTTATTTATTAGGGTTCATTGTCCATTTCAAATAAATATCTTGAATTGGCTTTTATTTTTATATTTTCATATTAATTTTAGTTTTACAGTATCCCAGTGTTTTCTTGGAAATAATGGTTGATTTGCATTTTTAAGTTTGTGTAAACTTTGTTTAGACAATTCATCCAGTTATTTCTGGGAGTGTTTCAGTAATAAGCTATTTCAATACATGCTCTAAATTCCGGTAGTTAAATATTATTGCAAAAATTCTGAGAAATATGCAAGCATCATGCCACTTTTGTTTGATATTTAATTAAATAACACAATAACATTTAGACATTTTGTCTCCAAATACTATTTGAGATCATTGGAATTCACAGTTTCTTTGTTTAGATCTCAATCTGTTAACAAACCTTCTTTATTTATGCTAGATTCATAGGTCCCTAACCAGGAATGTGCTTTATGCCGTTTCTAAAACATAAAACTCAGAAAGCATGCATTCATTTTCAGTGTTTTTATTGAATAGAAATGCTCTGAGGTTTGGACATTGTTTTTTGTGTCATTTTCAGCATAAATGATAAAAGACACCTGATTTAACACACAAAGAAAAGTCTGTAAAATGTGCATTGACATTGTAATGCTCCTCTAGAAGATTTTATGAAAAAGTGACCCATTTTACCTGATTTCACCCTCAAACCCTCAGACTGAGCTGGCAAACTTATTAAATTCAGGAATTAGTTCTTCATCAAATGCACTCATTATAAAATCTGAGATCTTAAAACATAAAACTCAGAATCATATCCAAATGAAAGCGTGCATTAATCTTCAGTGTTTTTTTTGTTGAATAGAAATGCTCTGATGTTTCAATGTTTTAAAAATGTCATACTCTTTTTCCAGGCTGTGCCATCACATACGGCTCTTACGTGATGCCTGACTGCTGGGTAAACAGTTGGCTTCATCAGCATTTCGTGACCATCGCCATCGGCAACTCGCTCTTTTGTACCAGCATGTCCTGTTACTCCAGGTGAGAGTGGTTTCAGAGGGTAATTAAGACTCATTTACTAAGTCTGTGACTACAGGAGCTAATGCAGATGTCATTTCAAATCCAGACTCAGAATAATAGAGAGTTCATTATATAACTTGCATCCTTCTCACACACAGACCTTTGTTTGCTCTGACCTTATTCCTGGTTGCACAAAAGATTTCAGTCATTTTAATCAATAAATTATTTACAAAAGTACTTAACTCGTTGTTGAATTCTGTGAATGAATTAGTTTTGCTTAAGCAAGCAAGACTGTTGCAGATCAACCAACCATCAACAATAACCTAGCAACCACATGAAACTGTATGTTAATGTCGCTATCATTATTTACGGTGTTTGCAATTATTTTGTTTCTCAGTTTCTGACAAGAACGAGGCAGGGGAGGTTTCCGTAAGGGTCTCAAGACGTTTCACCGGAAGTTTACGAGCTGGCTTATCTTTATGCAGAAGTTCTAAAGAACACTCCATGAATTATAGTCCATTGTGGTGGAAACTTTTACATGGTCAAGCACCACTTACATTTTCTTAATTTAAAAAAAGATTTTTTTTTTTAAATATTAATATTAAACTATAAACATAACATATCTATAATGCATTTTAAATGAAGGAGCATTTTCCTGTGTTTTGCAAGTTTGCAGTATGGGACGATGCTATTTTGAACATATTTATAAATATAATTTTTTTATATATTTCATGATTATATTACATTATTTTATATTAAATATGAAAAATATTTTTTGAATTTATATTTTGACTAAAAAGCATATCTATAATACATACATTTTAAGTGAGGGTGTGTTTTCCTCTGTCTTTTGTAACAGGTTCGTAGAGTTGCAGTTCCCACACAAAAGTAAAATCTTGCGAACGGCCGCATTTGTTGTCCCCTTCCTGTTTGATAGCTTCCCACTGTTCTACCGAGTAAGTATGATCACACTTCACTGCGCATGCAAATCAGCCAAGTGTTTATGTGCATTGTGCCCGTGTACAGTAGATATGAATGCACTCTTTATGGCTGTTCTCTTTCCACGTGTGTCTGTAGCTGCTGTCGTGCTGTTGGGGGAGCTGTAGTCCCAGTGAAGCTCTAGCAAGCCATTCTTACCATCTGCTCTTTGCGTTTCTCACATGCTTCCTATTTGCGTCTCACCTCCCCGAGAGACTGGCTCCTGGACGCTTTGACTACATCGGTACCTCATTTTATTGATTTTACGATCATCTTTGTTTAGTTCTCGATGGTTACAGAGGTTCACACCGGTGTCACGTGGTTCTTTTGACCAGTTTTTCCACTCGCTCTCCTCTCAAGGTCACAGTCACCAGCTCTTCCACATATGTGCGGTGGTGGGCACCCATTTCCAGATGGAGGCAGTGTTGACAGACATGGCGTCTCGCAAAGATTGGCTGACGTCGCACTCCTTTTTACCTTCCTTTCTGGGCACCATGGGGGTTCTCGCACTGGGCATCCTGCTCAGCCTGGGCATCATTGGCACCTTTAGTGCCGGTTTACCGCGAACACCTCTCCAAAGCACTTCAGCCTCTAGCGGCGCCCACCTTCATCAGGAGTAAAAAGCTTTCTTGACCACTCCACACCTCACTGTGCACCTTTCTGGACGATTTTACACTATAGCACACTTATACAGTCACTTTCACTGATATATATAAGCCTTGATACTTTTGTACTAAGAAGTCAAACGTTTAGGCTCTCACTTATTCTAGTTTCCTTTTATACTTACAGTTTATTATCTCAGCCGAAAACCCTAATGATAACCATGACCTGTTTGATTTTATTCTTTAGTCATCGTTATGAAAGGTTGAGGGTTGAATGAGGCTAATATTGATTTTTACAGGTTATATTCTAACAGTTTGAGGATTTTATTAAACACAATATGATGTTTGTGTCACTACGTATTAATGTTGTGTAACATTAACTGGAGAATAGCATTAATCAGGGATTTTATATTTGCATTAATGTCATCATGAACAAACATCATTAATATAATTAATCCAATTTGTTATGATTGTTGCATATCAAAATATACAAAAATTATGGTGGGCGTCATATCTAAACTACTGGCAGGTTGGTGAAATTTTTTATTTGTAATGTCCCTTTTTATCATAATTTGGATTTACTGGAACGCCTTTGAATAATCTCACAGGTGCAGTAACAAATTAATTAAGGGCTGTATTTCTAGAAAAATATTTCTGTTTTTTTTTTTTACTGTTACGTATCGTGAAGTATAAATTTAGCTCATCTAAGCGTCATTCTCCTACTAAACTGCATCTAATGGGAATATGGGGCTGCACTGGAGTCCTGCACTGTCGTTTAGATGTTTCTAGACATTTGGTGAACAGCTTTGAGTCATGTGTCCTCCTCTGCATCGGGTTACATTTCTGTGGTATTGTTTTGTTCATTGCAGGTTTATGGCATACAATACACTGTTTATATTGATACACAAGGTTTTTATATTTAATAGCATTTTGCCAATGCACTTGTGGATCCAGTGCAAGCTCGAAATAGTTTTTTTGCTCATGTAATTAGTTCCATTCTGTTCTTAAAACAGAAATCAAAGCTAATCGTTGTGTATGGCTAAGCTCTTAACCTCTGTCTCTCATTTTGTCCCTTTTTTTTCGTTTCGTCTGGCTTAGCGGTGCAGGACAGGTACGTCGGCTTGTAATTCAATGCAATTAATGCTGCTTAAAGGCAATAGATTTGCTGAACCTTTTTCTAACAAGCTCTTAAGTTCGGTCACATGGTGGTAATGATATTTTAATTGGTGTTTGTGAAAGGGATCTTGGGTTAAAAAGGAAAAGTAGGTGCTTCAGTGGTTAGTGGCGGAAAGATTCTGCATTTCTTCAAATGCCTATTTGTAGTTCGTCAGCAGAAATTCTCGCTCACCGTTCGGTGTAAGTAGGTGTGTGTTCTTCCAGCTCCAGCTCTGATGGAGTGTGTTCTTCTGCTCAAAGATGTTTAGATGTGAATGTGACTGGTCACAATAGTAGTTTGTGCACTAGATTTAAATGAAACGTAAAAGGTTTTGGATTCCCAATCCCTGTGTGTTTGTTGGCCCAAATGAATGTATTGCAGTTTTGAAAACTGTGTTTTAAAGCACCATTTAATGTTACAAAGTAGCATTTAAAATTACCAAGGAAATTAAAATTATTATTTAAATGTAGTTTTTAAATGTTCCAGAAATGTTCTGTTTTTTTGTTTTGTTTTGTTTTGTTTTTTACTATAATGCTTCCCTTTAAATCTGAGGATTAAAATATGCAATCATTATCGCAATGCCTTTTATTTGCCATTGTCAATTTTGGAATATTTTTGTAACAAATGTGAAAAATATGAAAGTGCCTAGAATTAAACTGACTCATTGTTCACTACAGTCTTTGTCCAGCTGTTGTGGTATCATTGAATACAGAGCGATTATGCAAATAGCATTATTGGCTTATGAGGCAATTCTGTTCCTGTAATTCTGTTGTGTAACAGATGTTTTTATTAGTAAGAGTGTTTGTTTGCAATATGCTGAAGATTTGAGGGATCATCCTTTGACCTCTCAGGATTTGGTCCACAAACCTCAATCCAGTTTATAGAGAGTTCAGTACAGGTATCTCTACCTTCCAGTGCTTTATATAAAAATTACATTATTAAGCATTTTAAACTATTTTTGTAGAATTATATTGAGGTTTTTTTATGTCTTAATAATAATTTAATTAATTTATGAAATGAAATCAATTTAATTTAATAGTTTAAATAAAACAATTACATTTTTGTACTTCAGAATATTTACTTGTCACACAGCAGTATAACTGCTTTTGTATAACTGCATCAAGTCTTCATTACCTGATATTATTAATAATTTAATTATAAGTTATGTAACTAAATTATATAAATTAATTTAATAATCAGCTTAAATAAAACTATATTTGCACTTTAAAATATTCACTTAGAAATGTATGTAAATTTCTATAATCAATATAAATGTTTACTTTTTTAGTGCAATCTCAATTACATATTAAAAAAAAATCTATTATAATTAAGTTTATGTCACTTATAACGAATGATGGGAAATGTCCTATTCAAATTATGAAACGTATAGTTCCCGTTTCTGGATGCTGATTGGTCAAAACCGCGTTTATAGCTACGAATATGACTTCAGAAGACTTTTAATATTGTACAGGTTACAGTTATTGGATTTTTTTTTTTTTGTCCAGTTGTGCCACTGTCTACATTTGTTGTAGGGAAGCGATTTGTGTGATCATTTCTCTTTTTACGTCCAACGGAAAATAACGAGACAATGAAATAATGGACTGCTGTACAGTATGTTCATGGTATGTCTATGTTGTAATCTCTAATGACACTGAGGTTTCAACTTCACCTCCATCTGTCACTTTCTACCAGCATCTCCTCTGTCCATCTGTTGGTTTCTGTAAAGATCCTCTTTATCTCCCATCACCTCTGCCGAGTTATTTGCACTCAACTATGTATTTAGTTTATTTTACATTTAAAAGACGTTTAAATGTAAAATATTTGTACAGTTAAAGGGATAGCCTACCCAAACCTCACCTCATGGCGTTCCAAACCTGTATGACCTTCTTTCTTCTGCAGAACACAAAAGAAGACAGTTTGAAGAATGTTGGTAACCAAACCGTTTCGTGTCCCATTGGCTTCCATAGTATAGACAAAAAATACTATAGTAGTCAATGGGACCTGAAACAGTTTTAAAGGCGTCCTATTATGCCTTTTCACTTTTTCAACTTTAGTTAGTCTGTAATGTTGCTGTTTGAGCATAACAAAGATCTGCAAAGTTACAAAGCTCAAAGTCCACTTCAAAAGGAGATATTTTATTTAACAGAAATCACTTTTTAAAAACTACAACGAACGACTCGTTTGGACTACAACGCATATTTTCTGGGATTTGTGATATCACAAATATCGACGAATGGGATGAGACCTGGATGAGCTGCACTAGAGAAGGCAACGAGTGTTATCGCTATGTAGGAGACACGCTAGCTTTCCCAAGGCAGACGAACTTAGAGTGGTTACAATCATCCAGGTTTAAATCGCGCTCAAATTGATTTGATTTTGACGCAATATTTACACTGAAGGTCTCAGGCGGCTATGGTAAGGAGCATGATATTTCCCAACCAGGCGCCGAGTGCTGCCAATCACAACACACACTGGCCCAGCTAACCAATCACAACACACACTGGCCCACAGCACACACTGACCCAGCTAACCAATCACAGCACACACTGGCCCAGCTAACCAAACACAGCACACACTGGCCCAGCTAACCAAACACAGCACACACTGGCCCAGCTAACCAATCACA